ATAGCGCACGGTTTGCACTGGCAGATCTTCTCGGTGATTTGGCAACCGCCAGTGACTTGGGCGCATTCTTCATCTGTCCCTGACACAACCAGATGCCCACGCGGGTGTACTTTTCTAGCGACTCGAGAACATTCGTGGCCGGGTGGATGACGGATGAATCGTCTTCCTGGTCAACCAGATCTGACTTTAAGCTCTTCAGGGTCGAGCCCAAGAGAGCCAAGTGTCGTGTCAAACGATCCATCGCATCCTTCACCTGGCCCTGGCGAACCTGCAGGATCACCACAGCGTCGATGATGCCATTGTCCTCGATCGTTGGAAGGACCTCCGCGAGTCGGATATCTCCTTCCTTTATATTCTCCACATAATCTCTCACGTGTGAAGGGTCGAATTGACATAGGAGGCGAACATAGAGTTCCATGATCTCATGGTCATAGTTCCGACGCGAGCTCAGGTGTTCTTCGGGTTCCAGAAGCGTTCTCAGGTACTCAAACTGTTCAGAGAGATCATCGGCCATTGTTTGCAGGAAAACGTGGTGCAGGTCCGGCGCCACCTCATCGATGGTAGAGGCACACCTTTGGACATCGATGTTGATCAGGTCAAGCGCGTGTTTCTGAATGACATCTCTGACCTCTCGACGCTGGCGTTGTGTTAGGGGTGATTCTAAGCGGAGACATTCGACAATCGAGGCAAACACGCCCACTCGGTCTTGACTGTCCACGAAGAAAGTCGAAATCATATCAGCGTACTGACGTTCTTGCTTGAAGACAGACTTAAGCACGCGGTAGAATCTGGCTTCTCGGAGTAATGGAACAAAGTCGAGGACGTTGGGTGGCTGGTACACGGAAAGGAGGTATTCGATGCTCAACTCGGCATCTTCTTGCATGTCATCTTCCGGGTATTGACACAACCGAATAAAAATCTCTTGCAAGACTGTGCCCGAGAGCACCAAGTATTGAGGATATTTGGCCAGGTTGCGCGCGATGAACATGTCCAGATAAATCGTGTCATCAGAGTCGAAACCCGATGACATTACCTCCAGCAATATGCGAACGACGTATTGGCGGGTATAGGTACGAGTTGCTGCTGCCTGTTTTAGACTGAGACTATTGAGCACGTCGTCGTCACCCAAGTTGAGATAGCTGTCTTCAAACGCCTCATTCAAAGCGGCAATGAAACTTGCGGTGTCGAAATGGAGCACCCGAGACAGGTTCTCAAAAGAGACTGTGGGGTTCAAGAAGGAATTGCTCCTCCTTTGAGCCACGCCATTTGCCCCTGAACCCCCGGAAAAGAAGTAGTCGTAGACCTGACCTTTGGCAAGCACGGAGGCTTCTTCGCCTAGCATATTCCCGGTGGGATACACGCGACCTGTGAGGATGAAGGACATGTAGGGGAAGATTTTCTGGGCAATATTGTACCTATCGACCATGTTGACAACTTGCTGGCGTTGGCGCGGAGGGTCCTCATTGTTTGTCAGCTCGAGTAGCAGCATCAAGGGTGTCGTAAAGTCCTGGAGGGCCATTGTCCAGACGTAGATGTAGGCGTCATATAGGGCATATTGCTTGCATAGGGTTGTCACTTGATCAATATCCATTGTCGAAGTGTCCAGCATGCAGATGATCTCCTCCAGCACCGATGGAGTATGTGTTTGTACAAAGTGGTTGATCAGAGTCTTCAGAGCAGGAGGAGGCACAGAGGAGATGGTTTGATCGAGGATGTATGGTTCAAGGACATCCACAAACAGATGTCCCTGCTCGTGCTCCTCATACCAAGAAAACACTTCTTCGAAAAGGAAGTCCTCGTCTTCCATGACAAGACATGCCTTGATACAAGCGTCTGCAAGCTCGGCCATCTGTGGCTTTTCGATCTGATCACTCCCAGCTTGTTGGTTCTTACCAAAGGCGTACTTCAAGGAGGCGCTCATCATCTCGACAAGCTTCTCCTTAACGACTCCTGCTCGAACATTGTCTTCCTCGGGCAGGCCGATGGTGGCCCTTTCCCCTTCGCCTTGGTAATATTTGGTAGCAAGCCGGATGGCACCGATGAAATCACCGACATTTATCATGGCTAACAATCGATCAGCCCAATTGGTAAGGACGCCAGTCCAAACATCATTGAAGCCAAGCAAGAACAGCCTGCCTTTATACGCTCGGAAGCTCATGTGAAACGCATCTGCAACCACACCGTGCATGGATGTATCTTCTTCATCAAGCTGTTCAATGATGGCTCGTAGCTGCTGCGAGTAGAGATCTGCATGATAGATGTTCTTCTTCAATAGGTCAAAGGCTTCTGTTACGTGCATGGTAAGATCCTCGATGATGAGGAGCTGCTGCGTTATGGTCAAGACAGCCAGCACCGACCTATTTAACCACTGAACAGCCACAATTGCTTCGTCCGCTTGGTAGCGGCTTCGAGCTAAGAATTGCAGGTCGGGAGGTTTGTTCTTTTCGGTATCGTCATCTCCCTGAGTCCCATGAACTTCCAGGACCGTGAGGATGTTAGACCAGGCATAAACAAGTTTGGTCTTTGAAGTTTCAGAGTCTTGGGACTTGAGCTTGATGGCTGGAAACCATGCCAATGCCGCGGTCATGGCACTGTGCGCTGCGACCTCTTTGGGCCGAGCAGCTTTATGTTGGGTCTGTGCAACGGGTGTAGTTGAGACAATGACAAGCAAATATGGTGTCAGCATTGCCACGAGACCCAGACTATCGGTCCTTTGCTCTATATTCCCCAATGGCAATGGTGAAAATGCCAGCACAGAGCTTTTCTTCAAGGGCTTCGATGATCGTGAGACAAGCTCGGGGTACCGCCCAAGGATTCGAGTAGTGCGGACAACGCGGCCAACTGCTCCCATTCCACGTGTTGCTAGGTGGGAGAATGCCATACCTTTATCATCGGCGGAGACGAGCGCAGTATGCCGGTAGCCCAGAAACCCGATGTGCAGCACGGCGCTGTCTGATATATGACCGTCACCCTTTCGAGCTTGAGGCTGAGAGGCTTCAATTGGCTGGATATGTAAAAAGGGTCTAGAAGGTCTGGCAAGTTCCCAGGTAAAGATGTGGCCTGTTTCGTGTCCAACGGCGATAGTAGTATGGTCAGCAGATATTGCAAGCGCCGTTACAGCGCCACTCTCAGCGGCTTTCGTCCCGCTTCCGATGATTGCTTTGTGGTTTTGATGGTGATCAAAGACGAGAACAATCCCCTTGGATGTCCCCAGCACCAACTGATCTGCCACCGCCAGACAGATTGGGCTTCCAAAATTTCTCTTCCCAATCTCCGAGAATGCTTGCCCGGTGATCTTTCTGAACTTGCTCCATCTGATCACGTCCCACGGATTTATGGTATCGTCCGGCTCGGAAGGAGTGTGCAGTCCATGACTGGCAGCAGAGGCGTGACGGGAATGGGCGTTGAGGAGTGCGGGTGAGCTCGAGCGCAGAGGTGAGAGTTGCGAGCTTGAAAGCCGAGACTGAAATCGAATGTCAAAAGGACGGTGGATAGTCGAGGGGCTGCCTCTGCGGCCGGGACTGCGGACTGAGCCCGCATCACTTCGAGGGGAGGAAAGCACCGAGTCTTGTACAGAAGGTGTATCGTCGGGAATCGAAGTCGAGTCGTCAATGCTCAGGAGATTCGTCGCCTCATCGAAGGGAGGGATATTGTCCGTCCCATTTGTTCCCGGCCCATTTGACGCACCCTCTCCGTCGATTTGACCACTTTCACCATTTTCATCCTCCAGCACTGCATCAAGTGTCTCAGTCGCGCCCTCCGCCGGCTCGTGTGGTTCGGCCGGGACTATGTCTGGCACATCATGGTCGTCTTGCGCTCCTGACTCTTGACCATTCTCATCCTCAGGCACCCCATGATCCTCGTCGCGCAGGAAGCTCTCGCCCTCATTCAGGGTCGAGTTCATCGGCGTATCGTTGACACAATCATAGCTTCGTGGGCATCGTCACCACTGGACCGAGTCTCCTCCAATCTTTTTTTCCCACTGTCGAAGCACAGGATATTCGGCAGGCAGAAACGAAGCGACGGTTGCGACTCTCAATGGTGATGGAATAGTCGGATCAAAGGTATTCTCTACAGGAGAGAAGGGAGATTAGGAAAGTAGCTACAGCGGACCATAAAGCAGACGAAAGCAGACGAGGAGCAAAAGGATCGAAACACTGCCGACGAGACGAGTGCTATACCGTGGACGAGTTGGATGGATTACAGCAACCACAATGTGTTACGACGCTTGGAGACACGCCCATGTGGATGGGGAATAATTCGCGTTTTCGGGTCAAATGCTGCGCCGTATGTGTTTATTACGGAGAATCATAGAGCGGGTAAAGTGCGCCGAAGCCTTGGGCTGCCAGGCTGCATCCACAAGTCATTGCCGCAGGATGCACTTGTATAGGTATCTGCACTCGTACTTGTAGTGATCTACCAGTACTCGGTATACCTACATAGCTCTCCGTGTTGGTCCAGGCGGCATACCCTTTTATCAGCAGCATATCCGATTCCTGCCGACAAATAAGCGAAGGAGGGTGGTGGTCGCCATGGACTCGGCGAAAAGGCCCTTCACAACGAGGAATTTTCACCAACCCGCAGCCTAGCGTTCGCCGACTCCGCAAACTTCCTCGGCATCTTTCTGTGAATTTCCAGCCTCTCCAGCGGCGGCGAATTTCATATGTCAGCCCCAGAAAATCCCACCCGCTACCACGACCTCCATCATCCATCATCTCGTCACCCTCGGCCGTAACCACCACATCTCTACCTCGCCTCATCCCCCGTCGACAAACCCTTTTCTACCATCCTATCCTCACACCACGACCACCACCGACATAAGAAAGACCTGCAAGAAATGACGAGATAACAGAAGAATGACGACAGTTTCGCCGCCCAAACCCTGGGAGCGTGCTGGATCAACCGGTAAATAGTTTTCCAAGTGTTTTCAAGAGAGCCTCTATCCTGACGAAGCCTTTGCAGCTCCCTCTGGAACAAGTACACCTGTAACCTCTACCGCTATGACCGCGGCTTTACCAATGGACTCGTCCGCCACAGATTCCGGCGCCCCAGCGCTGCCCGACCGACCCTCGACGTTAAACAACGTTGTCAATCAGAATGCATCCAACTTTACAAACCAGAACCGCTTTGGAATGAATAACACACCTTATTCGGGACCCTATTCGTCATATTCGTCCCCTTACTCGAGGTTTGGTGGTGGCATGTATGGTGGAGGCATGTACGGAGGCGGCTATGGGTACGGCAGTAGCATGTACGGCAGCGGCATGTATGGAGGATATGGAAACTACCCAGGGATGCCAGGCGACCCCAATAACCAAAGTCTGACCCAGACGTGGAACAACAGCACAGCCGCGACTTTTCAAATCATGGAAAGTATTGTCGGCGCGTTTGGTGGATTTGCGCAAATGCTGGAGAGCTCATATATGACGACGCGTTCTTCATTTTTCGGTAAGTTCTTTACCCGCCACAACATGCTCAAGACTGACAGCTCTGGACAGCAATGGTCTCTATGGCCGAACAATTGGGAAATTTACGTCAAACCCTTGGGTCAGTTCTCGGGATCTTCACGCTCATGCGATGGATTCGGACCCTGGTAGCAAAACTTACTGGTCGGCCACCACCTGCCGATGCGACAGCCCTCACACCTGCGGCCTTCTCATCCTTTCTCAATGGTGGTCACAGTTCTACCCCTGCAACACTACCTGACGGTTCACCTGCACCGGCCCGCCCGTCAAGGAAACCGTTTATCATGTTCGCCATTGCGGTCTTCGGCCTGCCCTACCTCATGAGCAAGTTGATCCGCGCCATGGCCCGCTCTCAGGAAGAGGAAATGCGTCGGCACCAGGAAACGGCGATGCCATACACCGTGGGTGCGAATGGAGAACAAATCCCCATCGACCCCAAGAAACTCGATTTCTGCAGAGTGTTGTATGACTACACCCCCACTCCACAGTCTGGTGGAATGGACCTCGAAGCAAAGAAAGGCGACTTTGTTGCAGTGCTCTCCAAGACGGATCCCATGGGCAACGCGAGCGAGTGGTGGAGGTGTCGCGCGCGAGACGGCAAGATGGGATATCTCCCGTCTCCCTACCTCGAACCGATTCAAAGACCCATGCCAAAAGCCACGCCACAAATCACAGAAGGAAAGGCCACTCCGCCGATGATGGAATCGGACGAGATGATGGCTTCACACAAACCCAAACTTCTCCGGAACACAGGTGAAGTAGAGCCTGAGTCTCAGGCAGTGATGGACGCGCTAGGCGAGCGAGACAAGGAGTATAAGACGCGGTACAACACTCTATATGCGCCAGCGACGATGAAGAAGCCGACTGTCGATATCAAAGGGCCACACATGGACAGCAAACCCGGCGATATCACCCCAGAAAGTTTCCAGAAGAGCGCCTTTTATTCTTAATGTAAGCCATTATATTGGAGCGGGGGACACCAAAAAAGGAGGGGAGCGGACGGAGGGGGCGGGCGAAACAGGTGTTTTGTTTCGAGGGAGCCAACACAAAAACCGATATCCTTGGGAAGTTGCTCAGCAGGGAATTATTCATATAATTGGAAGAAAGGGACATGATTGTCCTTGTTCGGGTTATGCTTGCTCTGTTCTCCGTCCCCTTGTTCCGCACGCGATGTACCTCGTACTCTTGTACAGTTTTTTCAATCTTTGTCAGGTTTTCCCATATTCCCATTAAGCCCTGGTGCTATTAGGTGAGATGGCCTGTTTTGTCTACACGTCTTGTCTGTAAGTAGAGAGAGGGAGGGAGGGAGGGAGTGAGGGGAAGATGCATGGATCTGGCAGTTATGTGTCTATGTATGTATGTTTGTATGTTTGTAGCTAGGTATGTAGCTAACTGGCTAATGACTTGATACCAGACCATACTAGATAGAGCAGACGGGACACAAAACAGCACACCTAGGTATCAAGGTATCTAGATATCTAGACATCCAAGAAGAAAAAAAGTATCAAATCAATCACACTACACTATCAACGCACGCGCGCGCGGAAACAGGCTTGCTTAGGTAGGTAGGTAGGTATGTAAACTTGGTCAACTCAGTCAAGTAATATAATAGAAGGATTAAATACCCCTAGAGAGGAAATAATAGCTAGCTTTTTGAGCACCGCCACATCACATCCGACAGACAGACAGAAACACAGATAGATAGATCAGTCACAAGTCACAAGTCTCCCTCGACTTGGAAGAAAGTCCCCCCCCCCTCTCTTTTACCCTGCCCTCTCAAGGATCGAGGATCGAGGAGTGCCGTCTCAAAAGAACCTGGATACAGGAAGTGTTCAAGCCTAGCAAGCTCAAAGCAAAATACACAAAAGGAAACAAACAACAGAACTTTTTGGAGTTGAGCAAAATGTCACAAAAGTGCAGGTAAGAAGCAAGCAAGAAAGAAGCAACAATGGCAACAGCGTCAAAGGCACGGGCAGGGAGAAGCTGACTGCCTGACTGACGGACTGACGGACTGACACAGTAGCAAAGCAATACAACAAACAAAACCCCATGAAATGAATCCACAGACAACACAGGATGGCACTCATGGTCCCGTCGAGTGTCAATGCTCCTTGCAAGGTGAGGGTGATGTTCCGTACCCAGTGTGTTCAGACACAATCTCGCTCCTGCTCCTTGCTTGTCGAGATAGTTGAACAAATTTCCATGCTCATCAATGCCGAAATCAGGAGGTGTTCTGATCTTGCCAAAGGCGTAGACGAGGCTAAAGCTCCAGGAAATTCAGAATCGGCTTCGATGGCGCATACCTCTCGTCTGCTAGCATAGTTAGGCCCATGTTGGTACTCCTATTGGGATTCAATCATGAGAAGGTGACATATGGACGTACCTTTGGCACGACTTCGTCATCGTCGTCGTCATCATCGTCATCATCCTCGACCTCCTCTTGATCCTCGTCTTCTTCCTCAGCTACCAGCGCAACGCCCTCTTCACTCCCCTCACTATCGTCACTGCTGTCATCACTATCATCTGCGGATTTCTCGTCCCAGCTACCTCGTCGAGTCGAAGAACATCTCGCGCCATTAACGACAAGTGGACCTGTTGGGGATGTCGAGCCACTGCTATGTCCTGATCTTTTCCTTGCAGCTCGGGATGGATCTCTCGCAGTCTCCTTCGAGGGCACAGCGGTGTGTCGTTTGGTCTTTGAACTGGTGATCTTGGACGAAACCACGCTCTTCTTCTGCGCCGAGGAACCACTCCCACACTGTGTCTCCTGCCACCGTCTTCTTGATGAGCCGGAGCCGGAGCTTGAGCTCCCAGCTGCTGCGGTCAATATGGGTTCGTCTTTCTCTTGTTTGACACTGATCTTGCGATTAGAGAGGTATCTGCCGTCAAGGTCACGTACGGCACTAAGGGCTTCGGTTGGAGTTTTGTATCGTGCCCGTGCGGTGCCCTTGTTCTTACCGGGATTGCGGCTATCAGGGTGGATCTCAAGATAGAAAACGTTGCCGTAGCGTCTGAGGAGGTCACGCAGTTCACTCTCGGACTGGTAGTATGGCAACCCAGAGATAAATATTTTGCTGCCGTCATTGCCACGACGGACAAGGGGAGCGGCAGAAGGTGGCGAGGGAGGCCGTGCAGAGTCACCATTGAGCGAGTGCTGTAGGACACTGGTGGAGCCATGGTGCTTGGATGGGTTGAATGTGGTAGATATGAAGGTCGAGGCGGACAGACTCCAGATGGGTATGCTGTCGTAGCTGGAGCCATAGTAGAAGCGAGTGAAGACATCGCTGGTTGAGCAGCCCAAGTCGCCATTGTTGTGTACGGTGTTGGGTAGCTTACGGATGCCAGTTGATGAGCAGAGGCTGTATAGAGAGGGTTTCTTCCAAAAGGTCAGATAGAAATAGCAAGTTGACCCGAGAGACATACGCAGAGGGCCGTGTCGTCGTAGCAGGTCCTTGTAGGCTCGGAAGATACAACCCTGTTGGTATCTCCGACGTGGTGATCCCATTACTTTCTTTTGGTCCTTGTATCTTTCTCAAACTCCCGTCCTTCTCTTGGGCAACCAGTTTGACACGCACACGTTGGCCATTCCAGCCTTGCCTGCAGAGATTCTCTACATCTTGTGAACGCGTGCACAGCAATCGTGGGAATTGGACATACCATAGACTTTGACGGCATCAGCCTTACCCTTGATGGTGCAATGTCCCAACTGGGTCCCATCACCCGCGCTGAACACTTCAGCTTTCAAGCTCTGTTCACCTCCCAGACTCCTCGTCATGTCCTTGAGCTCTTGCCATCGACAGTGGCGTGGAATCTAAGATATTCAGGTGAGCCTTGGAGATGCATCGAAGGGGTCTTAGCAACATCGCTTTGACCTACATCTTGAATAAGGATGATATAATGCTGCTCGTCTTTACTCGAATGTCGAGGCCGAGGACGTTCCTGCCTCTGAGGCATATCTCAGGAGTGCTAGAACGACTGACAACGTCAATGCTTCAAGGCAAACCCTGGATTTCCGTCAAAGCTTTTAGCTGTTCTTTGTCTTTCATCCACAATATGACTCGAACGCGGCCAGTAGATTTGACACTCTTGCTGGCAAACGCCTTCACCGCAGTTGTGGGGGAACAAGAGGTGGAGGTCAACCTTTATAGATTCCGACTGATACATATGGAACAGGTTGATAGTGGAGCTCTAGCCACTTCCCCCTCAGATAACGCAGGAGGGTCGCTTGCTTTAGGAAGACGAAGAGGCTATCAAGCAGTAACAAGGTAGCCCTAGCGAGGACAAGGGTCGGGAGATGGAATCATGGATCTTCTCTCTGGCTAGGTGGCTCAGCAACAAAATACGAGCCCAGATGTCAAGTGGGAAAGACTCGTGGATTCCCTTGGCTGGGACTTCTGGCACAGAACAGATGTTTTGTTTTTGAGAAGAAAACCAACCTTTGAGAGATTCTGAGGACTGATTTATAGACTTGACCTTCCCACGCCTTTGCGACCACGATACACAATGGCTTGACTCTCCAATGCAGTACATCTCTTGTTGAGGATGTCGCGGCCACGACTTGATTCAGGTTGGCCGCGGTGGAGAAAGATGGCATCGAAGCTCTGGTTCGAACCCAATAGGAGGTCCAAAAACAAAGACTGCGTTGAGGCTCGCAGGTGACCTCCATCGGAAGAAATCTGATATCAGATCACAAGTGGCTTGCATATTAGACGATGGCTTGCTCTCTCCCTCTTGGAGCAAGCCGACCACCAAGCAGTCATGCCAACTGACCAAGTCTCCCACGATAGTGAGTGAAAGGCGCGCTATATCGGACACGGAGATTCCGGGATATCCTTGTCTGACGCTTGACCAGAATATAGGTAGGAGTTTGTCTGCAAGCCACTTCGCGAGGGGCCGATGGCGTCCAATCGAAGTCGCTACAGTAATAGCAGAACGTCAGTGAACCCAGGAAACTCATTCCGGCCGAGATGTCTCGCGGAGGAAGGCCTTGACAGGCATGTGCATGGAGAATGGACCCTTGAATCTGTCAACGACAATTGTCGTTATCGGCAAGAGTGCCCCCGTCCCCGTATTGTGTGCAAAAGAGGCTGGTTGGAGCAATTCCTAAGCAGGGCCTAACGTAAAAGAAAGAGGGCTTGCTGCAAGTCAAGACAAGATTATTTGGTTCGACTGGGTCCGGAGGCTCTCGTGAGCTTATAAGAGGCAATCGGACCCCAACGCTAAGGATCGATTCGGTCAGTGAACTGGAGAAAGGCTGGTGACAAGGGCAACATGGCCGTGTTCCCAATCTGAAGATATGTTTGCGAAGCATCCGAGTTTTAACCCCTGCTGGGATGATCGTACACCAACCTCGGGTCAGGCAATTTCCCACGATCTCAAGAGAAAAGACTGTCCAAGTGTCCAACGTGTTTGCTTCATCACCGTTGAGGCGCCTCTTTAGAGAGCGCACTAGAAACAAAGAATGCTCCGGAAGGCTTCTGGAGGGGAGGACAGTGTGATTGCCACACACCTATTAGCCCCTTGGAAGTTCAGGACGCTCTCGCGTAGCTGTGCATTGGTGGCTTACCAGGGTCAGCTGGAACGCCAGAAATCTCGGTCCTCGATTCCCTGTGATGCATGTAGGAGACGCCCAAAGGGATCAAGTTCGGCTGTTTCCAAGGACCATGTTGCTGTCAAGTCGCAAGTAGGAAGGTCGGGGAGACGGAAGACACCATGTTTGTAACTTCATGCCATCATCGCACATCTAGTGGCTGCGGGCGAACCAGTTTTGACACATTGGCTGCACGGGTTTGACGCGAGTTGTAGTGTTGCCCATTTTCCCTCCCTGTCCAAGCAAACCGAATTTCTAGTTTACATCTTGGAGGGCGTCGCGCCCCATTTCCCACTTGGTGGTACAACAGGCCCGCAGGATCTCTGAACTCTGGAATCCGCTCTGAAGCGAGGGACAAATTCGGTGCATTTGTGTGTGACTAGGATCTGAGCCGGATATGCAGAGTTTGGAGAGCTGATCTCATCGAGATCTCGACCGTTGAACGAAGAAATGTCATCCGTTTCATTGGAGGCAAGAGTTAGCTGCTTGTGCGACTTTCCCGCTCACGGGTCACCCACGGGTGGCGATGAAAATGCGTCAAAGAGGGTGGACTGAAGGCTTGCTCGACTGGAGAAGCCAAGCATCGATCATGTCGGTCACCGATCAGCATCAATTGAGGTCGAGGTGTTTCATTCGTCCATGTGTCGTCGCTCTTGCATTTTGGAAACTGGATCTTGGAATAATTGACCAGTCAGCATGTCAAAGAGACATGCTCCCGCATCAAGCCGTCGCCCTTCCAAGCAGGTTTGCTTGCGGATTGTGGGCGATAGTGCGTGACGCAGACCACGCTCATCTCCCGTGGCGAGGACCGACCATCGAGACTATTACAACGTCTTTGAGCCATTCTTTAATACTGCCTAAATACTGATGTAATGTGGTGTAGAGTCACGCCGAAAACAGTACCAAGCAAGATGCTAGCAAACAAGCCAGTGAGATGAGGGATACATGTATGCAAAACCAAACAAACGCTTCCAACGCTCAGATTCCAACGCCAGGATTTCAAATGCACCAGTTGGACTTCCGCAGTGGAATTCTCCATCCTCATGTCCCAAAAATGTGGCAAAGATAATATGCACCTTGTGCACCCGTGGTCTTGTCATCACACCAGATCGGAACCAGTGGCAGCAGCCTCTAGCCTTCTGTGAAAACTGGTACCCTTTCAAAGCCGTCCACCGGGGTTTGTTCGCTGCAAAAAGTCCAATAATATTGCAGCTTTTGATCCATTCTCACGGAATTGACTCTGTTGTACCGTTGGGAGGTCATCCTGCATAGAAGATCCCACGACAGGTCCCGAATATCCATCGCCCTGAGTCGTGTCCAATAGGGCAAATTCTGCATTTGCTCCGTGTGTTGTACTTGTTGTAGTACGAGATGTCCTTTGTTCCCAGGCGTCTTGCTCTCTCCACCATACTCGCTGGTCGTATGTCTCAATTGTATTCAATCGGTTTGTTCCAAGTGCTCCAGAGTGGAAATTTAGGGGGAATTGCAATCGGAGGAAGGATTGAAAGGAGGGGTTTAGAAAAGGATGGCCCCGGAGAGAATAAATCAATTCATTTGACAAAGCCAACCACGTTGGCACATCTTTGGCAGTAATATGAGTTCATGCCGAATCGGACTGCGCCACTGTTCTGAGCAGGAAGCGAGGTATCGATACTCAGGGATCGTTGACATCGAGAGCAGCGAACAATGTCTAAAGAGGACTTGGGTGAACCGGAAGCGCTCGATGACAGGGTGTTGATGCTGTCGTCGCTTTTATTGGACTTGGGGCCGATTTTAGTGGCGTTGGAGCCATTGGCTGCCAATGTCTGAAGCTGCAAGAGGGAAGAAGGTGTCGACGACGCCATTTCTGAGAATATGAAAGGTGCTCGCAGGTCGCAATTAGTATATGAATAAATGAAGGGTGCTTCAGCGAAATCGTCCCCTTTTCAAATGGTAATGGTATGGCAGAAATCAAGGGGGAAGGGCGGCAATAGATCAGGAATACTGGTCGAGAGCGGATAATAAGATTAGGTAGAAAGTGCAGAATTCAGCGCAAGAGATCGGGGATGGCAACGGCTTGTGATATGGACATGGACGGTTCTCGTGAGGGAAGCCTTGGATGGAAGGCGATGAAACGCGACCAGGGGTGGGATGGGAATTACTAGTGCAGGTCGAAACTGGATATCGACGGGATCGAGGACAAATGAGGGCCGAGGACGATGGTTAGGGAGGCACACAAGAGTTGAAATCTTCGATGGCATGGGAATCAAAGATGGCATTCTTCCAATGAGTGGAATGTGAGATGGTCGATGACCACCAGCGACCTCGATCGCAGGAAACCAAATCGACTTTACGCGCGGCGGCACGAGAACTTTAGCACTGGCTGGGAACTCCAGGCCCCCTTTCACGCCGAAGACGCCTCTTCCACCCGGGAACTGTTGGGCCTTTTCCGGGCTGTTGATCCCCAATCACGGCTTGCCCTGGGCTTGAAGAGGAGCCGACCGTACCTATTCCGAACTGGTTTTCTTCTCTTGCGGGCTTATGTTCCGGGCACTGTGGGGTGTCTTATTGGTGAACGCCACAGTTGGAGGGGTAGCCTAGAGGGCCGGCCACGCCTGATATTCTCACTAGCAGCCTTTCTTCATCATCTCCGATCTGTCACTTTTAGGTTGCTGGGCCGATAGAACCGAGGCGTTTGTACTTGTTTGTACGTCCTTGACAACGGGTACGAGTTGCAGGAGATCGATCTGTTTTCGGAGAGGGCAATATGCCACAGTGCCACTCCGTCCAGCCCTACCCCTTGCTGGACCACCTGTGCAGGTCAATTCTGGAGACTGAGGGTACCAGGAAATCCCGGAACCAGATGGCCCACAATGGCCGTCGGCTCAAGTGATCCGTCACCCGCCAGAGTACCGAGTACACATGATCGTACACATGATCAGATATGAGGCACAAATGCATAAAGTCCCTCGTACTTGGGATATGAGGCATTCTCAGGGGTAATCAAGACTGACCCGGATATCATCTCACGGCGAGAGAAATAACTCACCAGAATTGTGTAATCATGAGCCAAGCGAGATGTTGATGAGCGTGCTGCCACTACCATTTGCAGCTGAAGATTGCCGTTTCCCGTCCCACGAGGCAAGGATATCTTCTCATCGGATATCCAGTTCCGCGCCATATGAAAGGGGCATTTATTCACTCAATGTAACAAGAGAAGTACCAAGCAGGCCTTCATCTGCAAATGCTCCGGTCCTCATCTGGTTTTGGGTACCTAGCACTCCTAGGTAGCCTGTGGGTGGCGGGCCACTCACAGGCGGCTGTACAAGCAATGGCTTAGTCACTCACCTTGAGTAAAGTCAGCACTCATCAGCAATCCGAGCTTATCGGTCCATCTGCAATAGTCGCTCAATGTTTACTGTCTGACAATAATGGAAGTGTAGCGTTTTCCACTCGGCGGCACCAATCAACCCCTCTGCTTTTCTGCTGTCAGACAAGTTTCCATGACGTCAGGTTTTGGGAAACAATCTTGTGCAACCAAGATCAAATTCGACCCACGTTTTTGGATCGTCAACTGCGAAGTTTTGCGACAAGACGGTATACTTCACTCCTTGATACTGCGTCCACCGTGAAGATATACCACTTAATCCAAGTGATCTTTGTCCTCACTTCACTCTCCCTTTTGCTCCTCACACTCCTTCCTCAAAGAACCTCGATCTCATTCGCAATTGGCCTCATTCGAAGCACATCACTAAATTCGCACACAAAGATAGTCCCCCCACCTCAGATTCGCTATCGAGATCCTCCAATACAACTCGATCTTGTGTATTGCAGGTGCAAATCCTCAGGTGATCTTTACTCTTCATCCACTCCAAAATCCCACCCGGAAGAATACCGTTGGTTGGAAGACGAATTTGGTTCATCGCAGTACCGAGGGACAAACTGCGCGGTTGCGACTTGCGGGAGGCGGCCCCGCCACCACCAGAAAAGAAAGAAAAATAACAATGGGCAAACAACCCAACCTCTTTAGCTACCCCACAGTCGACGAGGTCGCTGCGCATCTGCGCGTTTATATCCTCTCCTGCCAAAAGACGGCACTTCACCGACACGATTGCTTCAAAGTCGCTGTTTCAGGCGGCAGTCTTCCCGCAACCCTTGCAAAGGCGCTCCTTACGCCAGGTCACCAAGAAGACCCCGCACTCGGGCCACAATTTTCGAAATGGCAAATCTTCTTCGCAGACGAACGAGCCGTACCTTTCGATGACAAGGACAGTAATTACGGGTTATTGAAGAAAGAACTTCTCGATAAAATCCCGTCCGAGCAAGGGACGCCCGCTGTCCATCCTATCGATGTGACGCAGCTCGGCAACACCCAGGAGCTGGCGGACCGGTATCAAGAAGTCCTCATGTCAACATTTGCCAGCAAGGATTCTGTGAAAGTGCCCATCTTTGATCTAATCCTCTTGGGTTGTGGACCGGACGGCCACACATGTAGTTTGTTTCCCGGCCACGAACTGCTGCGAGAAGCAGACGCTTGGGTGGCTGCAATCGAAGACAGCCCGAAACCGCCGCCAAAAAGGATCACCTTGACTTTGCCCGTGTTGACACATGCTCACAAGATTGCGTTTGTCGCCACTGGAGGTGAGAAGAAAGGAATTTTGAAGAAGATCCTAGAAGCGGACGATGAGGGAAGAAGCCTACCTTGTGGGCTGGTCAATGAAGGCGGCGGGGAGAAGGTCAGCTGGTTCACAGATGATGCAGCAGTGGAAGGAGTGGCATTCCCTAGGAGGGGCAGCCTGTGAAGAGCAGACCTTGAATGGGCGTGGAAGGAGTGCCACGGCGAATGCACACCTACTTGTTGGCGGACAAGGTTGAGACAGTCTTCCCAGGTTGGGACTCTGTTGAGAGAATGTCGCGGCCCTTGCGGTATGGATGGCTTTTGAGCAGTCACCTATATCCCGAGTTCTCCATTGCCTTGAGCCTGGCTTAAAAGCTCCGGGTCGGAACCCTTGGGAAATGAAGGGTCCGTAAGGGCTGGTGTCACGATTTCTTTTGTGTTTATTCGATTCTTATATTAGATGTACCTTGGCTGCATGCATGCGTCCCCCGGAAGTTGATTGAGCCAACGTACTTGTTATAGAGAACAAACTTTTCAAAACGCTCGAAAGAAGTATCAGAGACACGACCCAGGATCGGCGAGCTGGTTCCATGATCATCATCCTCACATGTGGGCCAACTGGTAGAGTCCAGGATTTGACTTTGAGATCTCCTCGGTGAGGCAGAGCTGTCGACGGCCCCCTTAGGCATCGGGTTTGACGGCTGGGTCGCCTGTAAGAGCGCCTACAAGTGAATTCTGGGGGCTCGGGTACCCGCGTGGGCAACGGATCCCAATGCAGTACCCCGCATTCTTGCAGGTTGGGTGCCTAAGCAATCCTCCAGCCCTCCGCAGCTCCCTTTTACTTACATACCTAGGGATTGTCTAGGCGGGCAGTAGGTCAATCCATCATGCCTTCTCACCTGGCTTAGACCAGTCGACGTATTACCTGACACTGACCAGTTGATCGGACCTCTGGTCCTCTTTTTTCACATGCAACATCTGCAACATCACCATTCACCACCCTTCCCCCTCTCAACGAGTTCCCCCTTCAAATGCGATTTTTGGCAAACTGCATATGCTGACGAAATATTTGCCCCATGGAGCTCGGCGTATCTACATACATACGTACGCCTACACCAGGCCCTCCCCAACACCAAGTATTTGACATACCCCTCCTGCATCTCGGATGAGTTCATCCCTTTACGGACCCTGTCGCAGCAAATTGACGATTGATTGATTCTCCGGCCTGGTGAGCTTCATCCTGTAATCGTTCATAACAACACATCGAAATCCACGACCCCCCACAACAAGTTTTCTTCACAGATATCTAGGATCAGTAATCACACCGGCACGTAGCTTTGCAATCTGACCCGCCAAGTCGCTGGTAAAGGTAGTCGGGTTCATAGTGGATAGAACACCAAAGCCGAGGTTTGGGTGCTTGGATGCTTACATGCTGGTGGACAACCGATACTCCACTCTCTTCTGTACTTGTAGAGAGGATAGGGCATGAATACTACTGGAATTGATCCGGCGGAAGAGAAGGTGTGTCTGTCTAGTGGTTGATATTGCCAGGACGCATTCAATCCACATTCCAACATACATAGGTACAATTTCTGTACTATATATATATATATATATACGTTAATCCGTCCAACAGAGGCCATCACTACATCCATCCCCAGCTTACGCCAAATAACAACGACGACTACCAACAGAAAGGGGCCAGGAAACAATGTCTTCCTCTTCCATCACATCCCACACATTCACCTCCCCCGCCACCGCAAAACCATACACCTATCTCACCGCCGGCCCCTCCAATGGGCCCCTTGTGGTCTTCCTCCACGGCTGGCCGGGGATTGCCTTGACATGGAAACCCCAGCTGCTGTCTCTGTCGAGCCTGGGCTTCTATTGCGTCGCCCCGGACATGCCTGGGTACGGGGGCACCTGGACGAGCGACAACCCGAGTGACTTTGCGCTGGAGAAGATCGTGCCGGACCTGCTGGAGCTGCTGAAGCACCTGGGCGGTAAGAAAGCCCTCTGGGTCGGCCACGACTGGGGCTGTGGACCGCTGTACGCCCTGGCGAGCCACCACCCAGAGGTGTGCCGCGCGATCGTGGGCATCTCGGTGCCGTACCGCACGCTGGAGCTGGGGCTTCCGGGGCTGCTCGACCTGATCGACCGCGACGTGTACCCGGAGAGCGAGTTCCCCTACGGCCAGTGGGACTACCAGGTCTTCTACGAACAGGAACCCCAGGCGGTCGACCGGCAATTCGAGGCCGACCTGCCCGTGTGCCTGAAACTGGTCTTCTCCCGCGGCAGCCCGCACAGCGGCAAGGCACCGGCGCGCACGGCCCAGGTGACGAAGAACAAGGGCTGGTTCGGGGGGCCCGGCGCGCCGCTCCCGGACCTCCCGCTCGACAAGACGGTGCTGGACCAGGACATCTACGCGGCGCTGATCGCGGGCGCGCAGAAAAACGGCTGGAAGGGAGCCACGGCGTGGTACCTCAACCACGGGGCGAACCGGCGGTACACGCTCGAGCGCAGCGTCGACGACGGCGTGCTGGCCATGCCCGTGCTCTTCATCCACACGGCCTACGACGCCGTGTGCCAGACGGTCGACAACCCGAAGCTGACCCAGGCCATGCGCGACAAGTGCCGCCACCTGACCGAGTTCGTCATCCGCGCCGGCCACTGGGGCAACCTCGAGTGTCCCGGGGAGGTCAACTCGGGCATTTCCAGCTGGGTCTTGAAGAATCTGCCCGACTGGTGGCCTGGCCCGGAGTTGAAGAGTCGTTTGTAGGTAGTCGAGCTGTCGAGCCGTGTACTCGAGGATTCCCTCTCTCAAAATACATACCTTACACGTTATAACTTATTCCCCCCCCCCCCCCCCCCTTTCCTCTACCATGCCACTACTTGGGAGATGATGAACTGTGAAATATGAAAAGGAGAAGGATTCTATTACTCTACCGAGACAAAATTGCTTTACTTGTTTAGGGCGTAATAAGTTTCAACTTCTACTTTTTATATTGTATTCTTTTCTCTCCTACACAACTCTCCCATTTCCGCTGTAACATGTAGCATCGATCCAGATTGCTGGCTGAGAACGACATGTGTAAGGCACTTCTCTACCTCGCACGGGGCAGAGAGTGCGTTGCCATCCGGAAAAAGCATCTAAGGTACCTAGGTATGTATGGGACTACCTACTAGGTACAGTAGCTTCAGCAACGCACCGTGTGGGTTTGTCTGTCTGGGTGTCTGTCTGGCTGTCCACTAAATGATCTGGCGCCGCCATTTTGAGCCCTCCTCCCTCCCTCCTTCTCCTTCTTCGCTACCTCTCCATCTCCAGACACGGGATAGGGGCAGGGGTATACAGTATAGGTAGTCAGCAATGTTGTCAAAAGGTATACGGACAGCAACACGGTAGAAAGTTTCTCGACTTGTCGGTCACTCCTCGCTGACATCAAGTTTCCCTCCGCCTGAGCTGTAATGTCGAGGGGATATAATGTCGTTCCTTTCTCTGTTCTACCCAGCGCCTGATATATTGAGAACTGGCAATACTCGATTTGTTGTACTGACGGAACTGATCCGTCAATTTTGTGGTCTTTTTGTGAGCATCTGTTGTGCTCGATATAGAAATTGTACCTTGAATCAAGCCATCCATCCCGGAGCTTGTCGCCAGGTATGGTGAAAGCTATGCCGCTGTTGACCGCACGGTATCGTCCAAAGCAACTGTCTTAAGTCGATGCCCCTACCACATGTGACAACACGGGGCCAATGTGTAGGGGTCGCATGGGTTGTCCCAACGTCAGGGAACCTGGAGTAGTGCCCAGTTGACTGCTTGTAGACGTCAAGGACCACCTTCCATCCACCAAAGGTAGTCTGCACGCAAACTGAACGGCTGCTATGATCGTCTAAATTTGGGATTTGCTTTTGAAATTACGACTTCCAGTCACGCTCATTGAAAGAATCGAACGAAGATAGCTTCGCGCAGCTGGAAAGCCTGCCAGTCCACACCTCACCTCTTCACCCGTTTGTGTACATGCAAAGATGCGGAGCTGTCGATGTTTGGGGCTTCGGCATCGCCGATCGTCTTGGGCCAGATCTTTGACTGAAGGAGCTCGTTTGCATGGGGACGTTGCACACTCTGCCACGAAAGCATCTTGATAAGCACATCAGCAATAGAGGCTGGTCGTGATTTCAAGTTCCGTATGATATCCTGATGAGCGACGGTGCTTACACCTTTTTCCCACCGGCAATGTTCCTGGAAGAAAAGCTGATACCCCGAAAGTCCCATGGACCAAACATCCACGCGGCAATCATAGGGCTCCTGGTTTAGACTCTCACTCTGATATTTAAGCTTGAGGACTTCCGGTGCAAGATATGCGATTGTCCCACAGTAGTGATCCATTGAAGTGGTGTCAAAGGTAGCGCTCCCATAATCAATAATAATTGCGTGTACAGGAGAGTACGACACGATCATCATATTCGTGGGCTTCAAGTCTCTATGCATGATACCATGTTGATGCAGATGGGCAAGCCCTTTCAAAACCTGGTGGAAGGCAGACATGCGAACATCATATGGCCTTTTGGAAAGGGTCAAGTCAAGGAATGTCTGTCTGGCCAGTGGAGAATGAACCAGGTATACATCATTGATCTTGGACTTGCCTGTGCTGTATTCGTCGCCTCCCGAATAAAGATCAGCCATCAAATGGCAGAGGTTTGGCTTCCTAAGTAAGTAAATGGAACTCACAGATTGACGGGCAAACTTACATGGTTTCCTATTTTCTTGTAGATCTGGATTTCAAGTTGGATTCGCGCGACTGTTGCTGGTGTGCGCTTGACACGTTTGATTGCCACGGCCCGACCGGTAGATTTTTCGAATCCGGCCGACACAACACCACTGGCACCAGATGCAAAGGGGGAATGTATCAGAAACCCATGCAGTTCGTGGTGGTGCTCAAGAGGTGTCAGCTCCAGAGACATGGGAGGCACGTCACCATCGGGATGAAGCTTGGTGAACAGCTCTCCTAGCTTTTCCCGATAGTTATTCTCATTCAATCCGGTAAACTCCAAATTGTAGGAGAGGTTGCCAAAGGACAGCGCAGTACGCACTGACCCAAGGACTCGCTGCGAGCCCTCGAGTCGTTCAATACCATTGACCTGAACAACCTTGCCTTTGCCGACATGGAGCATCAGTGCACCATT